GCCATGGGTTCCAACACACAGCCTGCACTTCCCCTGCACAAGCGTCCATGTGCTTGTGTGCGGCGGATGACGAAGAGGGAAGAGGGAAGGGAGCAGAAGAAGAAGCAACGGAGACATGGGGAGGTGCGTGAGCACAGACGATGGTGATGGGCGCACACGACGTGGTTATGGTGAACACACACACACACACACACAGACACAGCGAAGCAGCAACGCACAACAGACACAACAAACACAAACAGGGGGGAACAAGAACAAGCAGTAGCGCAACACACACATACACACCAAGGGAAGGACAGCAGCCAGCCAGCATCCAACACCCCATACATCCACTGGTCCATCCGTGCACCAGTGGTGGTGGCAGCAGAGGGAGAGAAGGAAGAGTGTGCCCTGCCTGCCTGCCTGCCTGCCTTGCCTGTGTGAGGATGTGTGCCTGCAAACTCACTCACTGTGTGTGTCTGTGTCTGCGTGTGTGTGTCACCATCCAAACACACAGGTGTATGACGGAGGGAAGCAAGCAGCCACCACCACACACACACACACAGAGTGTGAATCACAAGCAGACACAGCATGAACGACTTGCACAAAATCACGCATGCAAGTGCAACGCACCGTGAGGTGGCATCAGACTGCCTGTCAGCGTGTGTATGTGCGTGTGTGTTCACATGTGCGTGTGTGTTGATGCAGCCCACCATCCCTCTCTGTGTGCGTGTGAGCTAAATGCATCCACAGCAGCAGGAGTGCGTGTGAGATCACAACACCCACCACAGCCACGTCCACCTCTCCCTCCTCCACAACACACACAACACGCACCGACACAGCAGTCAATCCAATTGACAGAACTCACCCAAACTCACGGTGCCAGCGTGCCATGGGCCTGTGCAGCACATATGTCAGCCTCACCGACTGTGGGCAACGCCTTGCATGCCTTTGGCCCTGCACACATCCATGGTGTGGGCGCTGTTGTGCGTGTTCTCTGCTTGCACCTGTTCACCATCACACCATCACCCACCACATCCCACACAATCCATGGAACCAAACGAGACCACCCACAACAGGACCGCCAGTGAGTGCCCGTCACAACGCGCACCCTCTTCCTCCTCTCCACCAACACTGTGCCAGCCACGCACACGAACAATGCAAGCCACCACCCACTCAAACACGCACGCACCTTGATTCGCGTTTCGTCTGCTGCTTGTTGCGTTTGTGTTAGTCTTGTTGGTTCGTGTCTGGACGATTTGTGGAAGATGCCACAAATAATCGCCCACTGCTGCGGCAACTGCTGTTTGCTTTCTGCGTTTGCTTGTTGAAGGGCGGACTTGCTTGCTTTGCTGGTTGGTTGGTTGGTTGGTTTCAATGAGACAAGAAGAAGGAGAAGGGGAAGGAGGGGAAGGAGGGCACTGTGTGTGCGAATGCAACGCAGGCTCACAGGCCTTGCAGGCTGGGAGAAGGGGAGAAGAGAAGGGGAGAAGAAAGAGGGGATGGAAAAGAAGAAGCAACAAACACACACGCACACACACAGCTGTGGACAGCATGCATCCCCTCCCCTCTCCTCCCCTTCTTCTCTCTTCTTCGCTTCCTCCTCCTCCCTTCTCACAGTCACAACAGACAACCACCAGCCACACAAAGGGCTGGAAGAGAAAACAAACAAGGGGAGGGGGGCAACAGCCACCCAGCCAGATCGCCATGGAAGCAAGAGGCGAGGCGATGGAGGGGGGGGGGAAAGGAGAACACCGTTCATCAACATGCACGCACACACATCTGTTGGGAGCACAACGTCTTCTGTCCTTGCTCCCCCTCTTCCTTTCCTTGGCCTGGGTTGAGTTGGGTTGGTTGAGGTGGCACAGCTCGCCATGGCGTGGCATGCGTGTGTGTTGGTGTGGGTTTGGATGTGGATGGGTTCCTCTCTGCGTGTGTGAAAAGGGGGTTGGTGGGAAACAGTGGAATGGATGGCAGTCGCAGAGAGGAGGAGGAGGAAGAAGAAGAAGCAAGGGGTGGATGTGAGCATGCCGTGCATGAGTGGACAACAACAACACATGGGGTGGAATGATGATGATGTGCTTGGGGTTGTACGTAGTTGTGATGGCACAAGCACAAAGGTTAACCACACACAATCACACACACACACCTCGTCGTCGATCAACGCAGCTGCCTGACATATGCGCACACGCGCACACACATATGCAGTCACACACACATAGTCACACATGGCATTGCAGAGTGAGACGGTGCACCGTGCACACGCATACACAGCACAGCAATGCAACCACAACCACCACAACCACCACAACGACGACATCTCTCCCCATCTCCATCCCCCAAAATGCACGGTCACATGACCAGGCGCACAGCCGTGGTGGTGATGATGGCCATGATGAACGCCTTCCTCCCAACTTCCCTCAACCCCTTTCTACCAAACACACACCATTGCGTGCCCTCACCTCATGCATCGTGTTGCTGTCAGCGTGGTTGATGGCGATGCACACACATGCATGCGCACACACATGGCCGTGTGTGTCCCCACTTGAGATGAGCAACGGAGAGAGATATGGGCGACACGACACGATGGCCAGTCATCCCCAGCCAATCCAATCCAGCATCCACTGCCGTGTGTTGCCTGCTGCAGTTATCATCACAAACAATCACAATCACAATCACAGGTGCAAGCAAAAGGAATAAGCCACTGATATGTGTGTCATTGTCATGTGATACCACCAATACACGATATTATGTGCATGCATGTGCACACGCACCCCCATCTCCCAACCAACATCATCACCCTGCCATCACCCCCCTCCCTCTCCCTCCGTTCGCTCTGCACTCCCACATCGCACCACCATCACCACCACCACCATCACCGTGACGCTTCCCCCTTTGCCCAACACAGCCCACAACCAACCAACCAACCGCCAACGATTATCCTCACCTGTGCTTGATGCAGCGAGACAGCCAGCCGATGTGCCATAGCGAAGCCAGAAAAAGGGAGCGCAGTCACATGCCACGGCCACCATCGTCATCGCTGATGGAGCAGAAAGAGGAGATGAAGGGGGAAGAGTGGTGGGCACGGGCCGTGTCCTTCCTTGTCTTCATCGGTGCAGCCCCAAACACGGTGCACAGCGCACATGCACACGCACGGCCATCATCACAGCACCACCACCACCAGCAGCAGCGACAGCAAGATGCCTGCGTGCCTGTGAGGCAAGAAGAAACCAACCAGAGACGAACAACAATGACCGGTGACGGTGAGGACACGAAAGGAGGGACACAAGGGACCACGCATGGCAATATGCAGCTTGTTGTGGGCGGGTGCACCAGATACACACAAGAACAACGAAGCAAGCACCCAACAATCAAGCAGGCAAACACGCGATATCACATTCACCATATCCACCACTGCTGAAATACCTGTGTTGGCCGCTGTCTCGATCACGTCTCAACAGCTCCACATCACATGGGAAAGGCTGATGATGATGATGACACAGAGCAAAGGCGATTGGTTGGAAAAAGAAGAAGGGGATTCGGTTGGGGAAACCCGCACACGTCCGCCTGCAGCCACGCACACACATTGAATTGTGTGATTGATTCATGTGAGGCACACGTCAGTGCAACCACCCCACAGCCGATGCCTGCTCGGGTGTGTTGGCATGCATGTGTACATGCGTGTGCACGTGCGTGCGTATGTGTACTACCACCCCATCCACACACACACACACACACACACACACACACACACACACAGCCCCAACGTCTCACCTGGTGCCTTCTTCTCTGGCACATTTGTGTGTGCGTGCGTGTATCGCCCTGGTCGTGTCATGAGGACTTGGGAAGAGAACGGCCTCCGTCCTGTGCAAATCACACACATGTACACATGCGCAAGCACAAACAACAAATCAGCAAGCAGAACACCACGCAGTGAGCCAGCATGGCAGAAACAAACCGCATCCACCTCCTTTGCCACATTCACATCACTCACATCACCACATGTGCACGCACATGTCACATCCCTACACAGACACCGCCACCATAAGCACCACCACAAGCACATCTGCACATGCGTGTGCGTGCACCGTCCACATCCACCACAAATCACTCACCACCATCATCGTCAACGTCATGTGAGGCAACGGCACATAGACGCACATCACACCCTGTACGTGAGCGTGTGGAGAAAGAGGTGAGTTGTCACAGAATCCGGCTTTCAACGACAACAGCATCCATTGCCAGCACCAACAGACCCAACGACATCCCACCAGCACTTCACAATCACATCTACACATGCTGGTGTTCACACCCAACACATCACACGCCACCCACATCACCACAACCACAACCACCATCATTCATCTCACCTCCACATCCATGGCCGCAGCCGCTGCTGTTGGTGACCAGTGACGAGGAGGAGGAGCAGGAGATGGACGAGAGGCAGAGGGCCAGTTCATCCACAATGCAGCCAGCCATCAGCTGTTGCTGCCGGTGTTGGTGGTGGTGGAAAGGGTGAAAACAACGGCCCCTTGCCACGCCGTGTCCTTTGCTCGCTCGCTCGGCTGCTTGGTTGGTCGGTTGGATGGAGATGGAATACATGGGCCTGTGTCCAAGTCAATCGAAAAAAAGGGGGGAGAAGAAAGACACATGAGTGAACAGAACAGACAAAGAAAGAGGGAAGCGAAGAAGGACACACAACATGTCAACCATACACGCGCACACACACACACACATCTCAGTCGCCCTCTCACCTTCAGCACTCGTCATCGTCATCGTCGTTGGTTCCACAGCTTCATGTGCCTCCTCAACGCTGTGGTGTGTGTGTGTGTGCACAGACACAAGAAGAGGAGAATGCAGGGGGGGGAGGTTGACAGCGAAGCATCATCAACCACACGCCAGTCTCATCCAGCCACGCGCACTGATACACAACCACACGCACACGCGCATGTTGTCCCCACTCATCCCCACCACACACGCACACACGCGCATTGCTCACGTCTTCGTCAGAGCGAGTGACATGTGCAATGTCTGCCTCACGCCTGATTGGAGCTGGTGTCGGCCGGAGTGTGATGGCGGCTGTGCAGTCGATGGCGATGATGGCGATGATGGTGACGGCCGAGCTGAGGTGGAAGAGAGAAAAAGGAGAGCGAAATGGGGGAAGGGTTGATGTTGATGATGATGATGTGTCGTTCATGGCGGCTTCTTCTCCCCTCCTCTGATGTGGCCCTGGTGCCCATGCAACCAACACACAACGACAAGACACAACGATACCATCACACACAAGGCACGGGTATGGCATGTGAGCACAGCAAGCGTGTTCACCTTCCTGCTGGCCCCTCTCTTTTGCTTTCCTCCTCCTCGTCCCCATCACACACACACACACACATACACACGCATCTGCACATGACTGCGTCACTGTGGTTGGATGTGCCCACCATGACCATGGACGTGCGTGCCCACAGCTGCTCCTCCCATTCCATCATGTGTGCACCGCCCATCATCATCCTCCAACGATCCTCAGGCAGTCGCTCCCCTGCAGCCACAAGCACACACGCATGGCATGTGAGTCGCACAGCTACACTGTTGCACGAGACACAGCAGCAGCAACACCAAGCACACCCAGAGCAGCAACAACAACACATGCGCCATACGCCAACCAAAGCATGCATGATGGGCTCACCTTGCCTTGCTGACATGTGGGAACACTGCATGAGTACAACAGCGACAGCTGAATCGGGAAAGTTGCAGCAGCAGCATCCGGCATGCGAGCCCGCTTCCACCAACATCCTGATGTGTGCTGGTACCTCACCACCTGTGCATATGTGTGTGTGTGTATGTGCGTGGTTGCGGGCAGCGTGGATGGGAACAGAACACAACAGACACAGAGCAAGCCATCACGTCAGCACAGCAGAAGAAGTGAGTGACATCACACGCAACACGGGCGTGCGTGTGTGTGTCAGTGTATGTGACCATCATCCCCCATCAACCCTCTTCCCCTCGTTCGCTTCACCACACTCCATCACCACACTCCATCACACACACACAACCAACCACACATCACCACCCACATACCATGTGTGAGGCGAGTGCAGCTGGCATGCGTGACAAGTATCCTCGACATTTCCCTCATCTTGCTGCCTGTAAGTGTGCATGGCCTGTAAGTGTGTTTGTGTGCGAGCACCAGCATGGTGAGCGAGTGGGAGGGAAGAGGGAGAATTGATATGTGCGCAGCTACACTGCTGCTGCCACTGCAGATGCTGCGCATGCATTTGTGTGTGAAGAAGAAAGGGAAGAGAGAGAAAACAGAAAACAGAAGGGAAGGAACAAGACATGCTGCAACCCATTCCATCCATCCATCCCTCTTCCTCACACCACACACCACCGTCCTCTGTCACCAGCCAGTCAGCCACACCCCACCACACCGCACTCACCCAGCATCCCCCAACCACCCCATCCATCCATCCACCCAACACACATCTCCTCTCCGTTTCCCCTCTTCTTCTCATCCTCACCTCTGCTGCTGCTTCCAGCCGAAAATGCAACTTGTGCTGTCGCCACCTGTTACCAGCAGCAAACAGCCAGCTTCTGCCAGCAGCAGCAGCGGGCGATGGGTTGGTTGGTTGGTTGGTTGGCTGGTTGGTTGGTTGGGGGATGTGTTCAGCAGCAAGTGGTGGTGGTGCATTCTCTGCTGCTGCTGCTGCATCGGCGGTGGAGGGTGTGTTGGCTGCTGCTGCTGTTGTTGTTGTTGTGATGGCCGTCAGGGAGGGCGAGAAAGAGAGGGGAATATAAGCAGCAGCTGCAAGGTGGAGAATGTGCAGGTGTGCAAGCAGTTGTGTGTGAGAACGACGAATGAGACAGCGCATCAAGCAAGGCAAAACAGGCAGCCGCACGACACACATGCATGCACATTGATGTGGGACAACAAGGGGAGACAGGAGCAGCAGAGACAGCGACCACAAAACACGCACACTGGTGCTGTGCGCATCATACACATGCACATGCGGTGGTGCACTCACGTTGCTCATCGCTTGCTTGTTTGTGGTGTGAGTTGGTGTTGCTGCTTCCACAGCCGCACAAGGGTGGCTGGATGGTCATCACATGGCAGCGCCCGTCTGTTCATCCCACCAGAGCAGTGGTGGTTGGTTGGTGGAGGGGGAGGGCTGCTGGTTCAAGGGCCCTCTATGTGGCGACAGCAGAAAGGAAGGAGAACGAAACAAGCGTGGAGGGTGGTGGTGGTGGTGAGGATGGGAAGGAGGGAAGGACGTGAGCAAACACACAAGAAAATGAGGAGGCGGCGGTGATGATGGCGTGTGTGGTGGGTGGAGAAGAGAACACGCACGTCGAGACACACACACACACACACATGCACACACACACCACACACACCTGTCTGGGTGATGCAGTGGTTGGATTACCATTCATCCATCAGCATGTAGTCATTTGTTGGTTGGTTGGTGGGGGTCGCCCACTGCCTCACGCATCAGCCAGCACCTGCTGCTGCTGCTGCTGCTGATGATGATGATGGAATACATTCATCTGCACGCACCACCACAAACAAGCAAGCAACAGCAGTGAGCAGCGTGAAACACAGGCAGAGAGGAGGAGACAGAACGAAGGAGGAGGATGAGAAGGAACACAACACCGTGCACACACGCACACACATTGGCTGTGATGGTGGTTGATGCCTTTCCCCCCTCTCTCATGTGTGTGCTGCTCACTGGTTGAGAGGTGGCATGCTCCATTCTCAGGGCCGCTGCATGTCGGTGGCTGATGGCAGTCGTTGTTCTGTCACCACACAACGGTGAGCAAGTGTGTGAGTGTGAGTATGTGCATTTGTGAGTGCCACACGCAGTGGTGTGTTGGTTGTGATCCAACCACCCGTGTGAGGATTGATTGATGGTGGTTCACCTGTGTGTGTGTGTGTGTGTGCACGATGACAGCGTACGCTGTGTTGTTGTTGTTGATGGTGGTGGTGGTGGTTGTTGCTGTGCGCAGTGTGCAAGAAGGAGAAGGGGAAGAGGAGGAGCACGGAGTGGGAGGAAGAAGTGGGAGCACTCCATCTCACCCTCACCTGTCGATGGATGGGTCATTCATGTGGTCGTTGGTTGGTTGGTTGGTTGGTTGGTTGGTTGGTTGTGCGTGGTGCATCACAGGAGAAGGAAATGGACAACGATGGATGGATGGAAGGGAGAAGGGGAGAAGGGGAGAGACGGTGCGCACACCCTCCCTGCACATGTGTGTGCATGTGTGTGTGTGCGTGTGAATGTGTCAGCGAGAAGGACGACGAAGGGAAGGAACGGAAGGAAGGAAGGAAGGAAGGAAGAGAAGGAACGTGGCACGCACAACCACCAATGTGTGTGTGTGTGTGCACGAACCAATGACACATCCCCCACCTCACCTCACCTCACCTCACCTCACCTCATCTCACCTGCTTGTCAGCAGCAGCGACGACGACCATGATCACCATCACCATTCCCACCACCATCACCATCACACACACAGCTGCTGCGCAGAAGAAGAAGAATGGAGCAACCGCGAGTGGATTGGTTGGTTGGTTGTTTGGTTGGAATGCAGAATCGGTTGTTTGCTCGTTTCTGCTTGCTGCTGGTGGGTTTTTGGTGTGTGTGGGATTTTCCTCTTCTTCTTGCTTGCTTGCTGGCTCTGCGTTGATAAATTGCTTGCCTTTCACCGCTCTCGGCAACGCTCATACCAACGGGATCACGCCCGCTCTCGTCCGATCGCGGAAGCTAAGCCCGTTTGGGCCCGTTCAGTACTGCCGTGGGTGACC